GGAGGCTGATCACCAACTTCCTCTTTTTTGGGCCCCTGGGATTCAGTTTCTTTTTCAACATGATATTTCTGTATCCTTTGGTCTCAGTGAAGCTCTCTGCTCCCATTTTGGCTTAGATGCAATTCCCCCCCATCCATCTCCCTCCCCAGGCTGACTTGCCTTGGCAGCAGTTTGGGGCTGTCGGTTCTTCCCTTGGCTCTTTTGGTCTGAATTGAAGCCATTGCCCTGACAACTGTGCCCCCCTCCTGCCCCTCCATCTCTGCTTGCTGTCGGGCAGCCCTTACTAAAAGGCTGAGGGAGCTGGCAGTGCTGTTTTGGCTCGTGCTGGAGAGCAGTGCCCATTCCTGGGGTGAGCTCTGGCTGGAGCACAGCAGGTGCTTCTTTCTTTCCCTGGGGTCAGTGCTATGAGGTGAAGCTTGCACTGTTCTGCTTGGGGGCTTGGACACCTGGCTGACAGCTTCCTGGGATGAAATAGCTTGCAGTGGCTTATTCCCCCAAAAGTCACGCTGTGGGGACACAGGGTGGCCAGCTGTTAATTTCCTATACTGCAACCCCTCCCTTCTCTCCTGCTCCCAGGTACAGGTACTGCCGCATGCTCGAAGAAGGCTCCTTCCGTGGAAGGACGGCTGACTTTGTCTTCATGTTCCTCTTCGGAGGGTTTCTCATGACAGTATCCTTTGGAGTTGGTTGAGGCTCTTTGGTGTCTTCTGAGATGCTGTTGGTAGCGTAGGGCTTGTCTGCTACCTCTCTACATACCAGTTATGTTGTGTGGAGCAGGTACCTGCCTGCTGAGCAGCACAGCTGGTTTGTGAACCTTCTTGGTGCTGTGGGGCAGAGGGCCCTGTTGTGCCCCAGGCCTGCCAGGCTCATGCCCTGTGGTGTGGGAGAGCTGAGCATGTGGTGGAGATGCAGCATCTTGCTGTATGGCACAGCTTGTGCTCCTCGTCTTGCCCAGCCTTGTCTTGGCCTGTGCCTCACCCAGTGTGCTGAGAGCAGAAGCAAAATACAGGGAAAGCTGCCCTTGATTGTGTTGGTGTCTGCAGAAGTGCTGGTGCACCTGGCAAGGGGCTGGGCTGCCTCATCCCCAAAGAGGACATGTGGCAGTGTGCTGGGGAAGCTCAGCCTGAAAGGAGGCCACGTTATGCTCTGAAAACCCGTCCAGCTGTGACAGGGCCACTGTCTGAGCTCTGGTGAGTGGAGCACAGCTACAATTGCATGAAGTCTGCTCAGGAAAGTGAGTGCAGCTGAAGGCAAGAACACAGGGCCATGAGGACAAGGAGTGGGATGTCCCCATACCATTGTCAGCACATCAGGCAGCACGAGCCCAGCACTCTGTCCTTGCGACCTGTCAGTGCCTGGAGACATCATCACGCATCTTAAGAAGTTCTTTTCATGACAAAGTAGTCTGCTGGGGAGAAATATCTCCCTCCCAAGCATAAACATTCTCTGAATGTCTTCTGCTGTCTTATGCAGATGGCTCAGAGCAGTGCTCTACTCACAGAGCTCTGCATGAAGCTGTGTGAGCTCTCATGGCTCTCGGCCACCCTTGGGTGTTTGGCCAGTCAGTCTCCAGGTGCCTGCAGCACCCACGTGCTTGGCCATAGGTGAATTTGGAGTCCAACTACAACAAGGGCAGGGGAATTTTTTGCCTCTGTCTGTCTCCTTGTGTTCTGGAGAAGAGGACTGCGAATTGCAAGAGCCATCTCACTGCTGAAATTTTTCTATAGAAGGCAGATACTGGATGCAAGCTAGTTGTTAATATGTGCCACTGTCTCAAGTGCTGTAAGGCTGTGAAGGCCCTTCTTTGAAGGCCATTTTGATGTTCCCTTTGTAAAGGTGACTACATGAGCTCCCTGGTCTCCAGTGTTTGTAGACATCAGTTTAAGGAGTGAGCAATCTGTGCATGCTATTCCAGAGTGTCTTGTTCCGGAGTGGCAGGGAGGGACATATGTGCAGGGAGGGTGGTGGTCAGTACATCTCAGGCAGCCCAGGAAAGGTTTGGTGGCATGGGCAGTGATCAGCTGCCTCAGTTTGGGTTTCCTAGTCACAAGGCACCCTGTGCTTCCTGGAGGTGGTGCACAGGGCAGGTAGGTTTTTCCTTGACTCCGTAGTTCCCAGCTATTTGGACTCTTTGCCAGCCTGTTTTTCCTGGGCCAGGCTTTCACCATCATGCTGGTGTATGTGTGGAGTCGCAGGAATCCTTATATCCGCATGAACTTCTTTGGGCTTCTTAACTTCCAGGCCCCCTTCTTGCCCTGGGTCCTGATGGGATTCTCTCTGCTCCTGGGCAACTCCATCATCATTGACTTGCTGGGTAAGTCAAAGCTGGTGTGTGCTGGGAAAAAGGGCACTTTGCAGCCACAGTGCTCTGTTCTCATAGGTGCTACTGGGGCACTGGCACCTCCTCTGGGTTTCACATTACTGAAGATAGTGGGTTTCCTAAAGAGAGCTCACTAGGGTTGCTGGGTGGCTCTTGCTTGTGACCTGCTTTTTGACATGTCTTCCCCAGAGGCAGAAGTTGGGTGAGCTCTGCCTGATGCTCCTGCTGTGTCTGGTCTCCTGGGTGTCTGGTGCTGCCTTCAGGCTGATGGGCTCCCTGCCTGCTTCTGTGCTGATCACAGCAAAGTGCAGCACCACGGCTCTGGTGGGAGCTGGGCCTGGGTACACAGCTGAGGGATTCCCGGAGCTTTATCCTGCTTAAGCTCCCAGCAGCTCTGGTTCAGCTGGCACAGGAGTCACAGCTGTGCCTGACCTTGGTGGCTTCTCTCCCCAGGGATTGCAGTGGGTCACATCTATTATTTCTTGGAAGATGTTTTCCCCAACCAGCCTGGAGGAAAGAAGTTGCTGTTAACCCCTGGCTTTCTGTAAGTAAAGCTGATTCTTTCTGGGCTTGCTGTGTTGCTTCCCAACCTGGGTCACTTCCATAGCAAACTGTGGTCTATGACCACATGGGGTGACCACAGGACACAACTGCATGCTGACAGCACCTCAGCTCCACAGTTCATGCCTCTGCTGCATTATTTGCATGTTATATACATGTGTACACAGGGCTCATACAGTAGTTGCTGATACCTTCAGCTTTGCTAGTAGAACTGTTCTTACTGCTTGTGGAAATGCTAGATGCAGGTAGGATTTTTTTCTGATGTATTTTTATAGTTTAGGAAAGCAGAATATGTTCTGCCTTATGCACTGAGGATCAAATCTGACCTAGAGATCAAGGAAGGAGAGGTACTGTCATCGTTGCAAAAGAACAGTTGGTGGTGGCACAATAGGCTGGTGGCTGTGGTTCACAGCCAAACCACCTGGAGGGCCAGGGTGTTCCTAGAAGGGCTGGGGGGCGTATCATCCTCAGCCCACTTTCCTAACCTGCCTGCTTGGTGGGATGGGCATGTCCCTTGCCAGGAAGATGGTATTTGACACACCTGAAGAGGATCCCAACTATAACCCTCTGCCTGAGGATCATCCAGACCACCAACCCAGAGGCCAAGACCAGAACGAGCAGCATCCACAGTAACACAGGGGACTTCTTCATGTGGCCAGATTCCTCTCTTCCGGCTGGACTGATGCTGTGGCCCAGAGATCCCACTGGAATAACACCAGTTGCCATTCCGACGTGTAACGTGTCACTGTCTGTCTGGGTAACCCATCCTCCCCTTGTACCGAGCGGATCCACAGAGCTTTGCACGTGAGAACTGATGAATACTAAGAGGTGTTCTAGGGACAGGGACTGAAGCTGTGACAGCTCCTCAGTTACTCAGTGGGGAATAAGTATCAAATGGGGTGTTAAACCAATTACTCCTTCTCTTTCTGTTAATGACTTGCTGTGTGCCAGGTCACTCTTGCCCTCTGTACAAAGACTAATGCACCTGGCCCTCACTGTTGTGAGACCTCTTTGTGGGCTTTCAATGAAGTAGTACTGTACCATGGTAGAATGCAGCTCAGCCTCTTCCTCTCCTTTACCCCACTCCTTTTTTGGTGGTTGTTTCCAAAGAGTCTTTACATTAAAGTCTTTATTTTTCGGCTGTGTGTCCATTTCTGCCAGGGGCAGAGGCAGCAATCCATCAGGAATTTGCTCAGAACTGGCAGGTTGCCTGGGCTTTTATTTTCTGGTGGGCAATGCAAGGTTCAGTCTAGCTGGAAGATGTCCTTCCCCTCTGCTGTCAGCTGGGCTGCAGAGGATGACAAGGGGTCTGGGGGGTGTCTAATGGGAGAAAGGGGTGCCTGGGAAAGGACAGGGGACTGAGCTGGACACTTGATCCAGGCAGTGACTGGAAGCAGCACTTGACACTGGTAATAAAGACTCTCTGCACCTGCAGTGTAATTCCACTGTTGTTGAATTTTTTAGTTCTGAGACTTAAACATCTGAGTTTCAGGGGAAAGCTAAACAAACTAGTCCCTACCCTGACAGCTGTGCTAAATGGATTTGACCATTCTTGCTAATGCAGTGCACACTGTGCTCGTACCAGACCTCAAAGCCTTTGGAGTAAATCTGCAAACGTATCTTGGTAACGTTGCTTCTGCTTAGACAAACTTGCCAACCACCACCAAACTATGAAGAGAAGTATGAGTACTTCTCAGCATCCAATTAAGAATTATGTGGGAACCTTGTGGCAAAGGAATATTGAACCACACCTCCCACACTCTCCTCCTCTGTGACCTTCCTGTGAAAACACTATTTCATATCAAAAATAAGATGTCATTTGAACAAGCTCTTCTGCTGCACCTGTGTTTCCCTCTCAGAAGAGGCTGAAAGACCCATACAGGTGATTGTTTGTTCTAGAAGACACAGTGGTGCTAAGGGCTAAGCAGTGTCAGACTCAACAGGTACTTGCTGTGTACCTTGCTCACGACCTAATGACACAGAGCTAGTGCCTCAGTCCCTGGAAAGTCTGTCTTTGCAGTCTGCAGAAATGCAAAAGCTGGGCTATGCTTTTAGCTGGGATACCAGATTAACCTAAGGAGTTGTAACTGTAGAGCAAAAAAGCTGCTCCTGGCTGTTCCCCAGTGGTCCTAATAATACATAGAGAAAGCTGGCTGAAGTTCCCATCTTTCTGGAAATTGGTCCCCCGGACTGTCCTGCCTTGCCCCTGGCTGCTAGGAGGGACAATTCCTACAGCCTCTCTGGGACTGGAGAAGCAGAGGGACATGCTGAAGTCCTTGTGTGCCCATACCTTGTTGTGAACTTTAGGATTAGGTAACCACAAGCTTCACAGCAATCAAAAAAACTGCATCACAGATCCTAGTTTAAGGCTACAGCAGTTTCACACTTGTTTTAGTCAAATGCCCTAAAGAGGCTGCTGGCAGAAGTCCTTGGTCATATAACAAAGGGAGGCTGAACTGTTCTCAGGCAGACTTCAAGTTTTTATGTCCATGAGACAAAATGTGTGCCATAAGGGAGGCTGAGATGCACCAGGAGCCCCAGGTTTTGTCCAGGTTTTGTCTTACTTGCTTAAATAACCTTTCAACCTCTCGAATAAGGAGTAATGAATAGAGTACCACTCTGGCACGGGAGCCTAGGATAAGACTGAATAATATTATTCCTAAATTGCAAGTTTTTGGTTTCTGCAGACTAACATCTGGAAAAAGTTGCCTCCCACCCAGGAATCAGAACTGGCTCTGTTATTACTCAAGTCTAAACATGATAAATTAAGGCCAAAAAGTGTTTTTTGACTGTGCTAGTGTGGGTGGACCAGCAAGGATCATAAAACCTATGGCTTTATCATAAAGGCCTGAGCATAACTGTCAGGCTGCCAGCAAAATCTGTCCTGCTTGCAACACTCATCAGTTCTGGCAGTGAATGATAGGAACTCCATCAAAGAGCAGGTGCACCTCAATAGCCAGATAGATTCCAATTGCTTTTTAAGCAAACTTGGATTTTTTTTTTTAATCTCACTTCAATGGATCTTGTTTTTAAACTCTCCAGGGAAAGACAGGTTGTTTCTAGGTATGCAAAATCCTGACACTGCAGTGCTAAGGGTGTTCAAGACACTCACTTTGCTCTGGGTGCTCTGTGTGCTGCAACTGGCAGCGACATGTGCTGACAGTGACCACAGCAAAGCCCCTGGCTGCAGAGAAGCTGCAGTCTCAGTGACTGCAGATTTCACCTGCTCTACCAGTTCAGAGACTTTGATGTTTTTCAGATGCAATCTTTACAGAAAACAGGGTTCACCCCACACCAGGTGACAGAAAGGACCGTTAAAGTCTGTGATTTCAGTTAAACTGTTCTACCTTGTCACGTAAACCAGCTGAACACCTCACTGAGTTCATTACAGACTGTGCCAAGTGTGGTAGCAGACCAATCCTTTAGAGAGTTTGTTTGCTGGTTCTAGTTTTAAGTCTCATTCTCGCTTTCTCCTGCAGCAAAAGGTCTTGGGCTGTTTTACCTGTTAAATAAAGCACTCAGGAAGACTGAATGCAAGTGAGTGTTCAGCATTATACCCAAAAGCATTAATATCAGGCCCTGGGGCTGCTCAGTTACCTGAATAGCACAAAACATGGGGAGATTCACTGCTCATTCAAATTTACTGAACTCAACCTAAGTAATATGCATTCCTTTTATTTAAAAAGTTGTCCTAATAGTGCATGTTGCACCTATACAAAAGAATCTTTACACTGTCCACACACAGGTATATAAGGGCTCCAGCACCTGCCACAGGTCTGAGCTCGCTCACGCTGCCAACGCAGCGTTCTTGCTATGTGGCATTTGGGTGGAGGGGGTGGGGGCAGAAGTCAGCAGTACTGGGAACTCTTGGCAAGTGGAATGTGTGCCCCCTTCAGGGACAGAGAGACCCCTGCCAATCCTAGATCCATTTGGGGAGAGGGAATAGGGATAAAGTCTGTAGGAAGAGCACCAGTGTCACAACAGGGAGGTTACCAGGCTGGAGCAGTATTGGCCAAACGTCTCATGCGCCTATGGGAGAGAGAGAGAGAGGTACAGTAAGTGCTGTGTTACAGCCAGGGGAGGTCTGACCACACCCAACATTTCTCGAGAGGTTGTTGCAGCTCTGTGCACTCCAGACAGGTTTACTGCCTAGACAGAACTCCTCATTCACCTCAGAGTGCCCCTGTTCATAAGGCTAAGACACTATTTTCAGTAACAGCTTTTAGAGCACTTTTGCTCATTAACTTGGATTGAACCAATTGCTACTGCAAACTATTCAGTCAGCCACAGCTGGTAAGCAAAATGACTATGCTACTGTTAATCAGACGTAAAAAAAGTCCTGGGAAAGAGCTGAGGAAGTATATTTACTTTTTTTCACAATGTATCTTTTGGAGAGATGCTAGCCATTCATTATATCTGCCCAATTTCACCAGGTAGGAGCAAGTGCTCTCAACTGCTTGTCAAACATGGCTTAGCAGGTCTCTGGGGGGCAGAGCTCCTCCTGAACCACACAGTGCTCCCGTGCTGGCAAACAGGTTGGCATCAGTCAGGCTGGAGCTGGGAGATGGCCCATTCCTACATCACACAGCACTTTGCCCTACATAAAAGGCAGCCTTGTGGCAGGATTCTAGGTAGCATGACAATGCACGAAACTCCAGTATTTTTGATTAATGCCTTCCTATAGAAACAAACCCCCTTGGGCAAAACAGAGAGCCCAGGGAAAAGAAAAAAAAAAAAAAAAAAGAAAACTTGCTTCAAGCAGGAGATTGGTTAAAGTAGAGTTTTTGGTGTTTATGGAGCAAGGTGATAACAATTTAAATGCCCTGAAGCTAAAGGGATATGAGTTTCTGTTGTAGTGTGCAGGCCTGGCATCCTGCCAGTTGGCTCTCAGTAGAGAAAGACAAACATCAAAGCTTTTAACTTCTCTCCTAGGGACAGGCCAAGAGAACTGTCTGAAGTAGTGGCAGCACCTTGTGTTTCTGTCCTGGTCTCTGATCTTCTTCTCCATCTCGGCATCTGTGAGGGTTTCCAGGAGAGGGCACCACTGGTCAGCGTCCCCTGTGTTTCGAATTGCGATCTCCACAGTCGGCAAAGGGTTCTCGCTGCAGGGCAGGGCAGAGGGCAACAAAGCAACATCCATCAGAACACTCCTCTGGGTCACCAGCCCAGATACAAGCACAAGGACAACAGAGCCTCATTTACAGTGTTTCAGGATTCAGCACTCATTCTTAGCTCTGCTTAGCACAGCGTGGCTCCCTGCAGTTCACCACAGGCTCCTGGTTACAACCTTGCTGTGCCTGAAGTTTTTGGGAGAGCCGCTCCTGCCATTTCTGTGGGGTTTGTGCTGGAACTGGGGCTGATTCAGTTCTCCCCCGCAAGCAGCCATTACATCCCTGGCTGGCAGCATCCAAGCCCTACAGGCACAGGTCATACCAGGTCATTAGTGCTGGGAGCGCTTCTCCCACCACAGCAGCGGGGCTGGGACTGTTCAGAGAGTTCCTTGTCTAGCCTTGCTCTTCTGCAGCTCTGACTTCCTAGCTGTAGTTTGCCTAACACACCCCTGACAGCTCTTCCCTGGCAAAAGTCTGGCTTTCTGGGAGCCTGATAGTGGAACAAGCATTGTTCTCCCAGTTGCCAGGGAAAGGGTAGTCTTTTAGGACCTGCTGTTAAGCAGAGGCTGTGGCTACTCCCTATACAAGCAATGAATCACTAGGCTGTGTCACAAGATCTGCTCCTCAGAGATCTCTCTGCCCTGACCAGCTGTATTATCACATGCACAAAAATATTTATTGCTTCACTAGCCGCTTTTCAGTAAAAGTCAACAGGAACTGACCAGGAGTAGCTTCCCAAATATTGACAGAGGAGCCAGAAGCCCAGCATAAATATAGAGGAGCCTCGGAATGTAAATGTTTGCTTTGAATTCTCGAAAGCACAGCCTGAGCTGCAGAAGTGTGTGTGTGAGAGGAGCCCTGGACAGGTGTGCACACATATCCGGCCCCCTCCCCAGGGACATGTCTCCCTACTTAGGATTTCAGCACTCATGGGCAGCCCTCTCATTCCCCCAGGAAGGAACTGAAATGGTAATTGTCATGGGAACACACAACATCTGCATCAAAGCTAATAATATAAAATAACAACTCTTCAAAGTGATGCTACAATGAAAAATTCATCCAGAGTCTTTGGTATCCGATCTGGGGAGGAAACTTTAGTCAAATCTACTTTCAGTACTGCTGACATCCACTAAACAACACTCAAACCCAGGAATTTCATCTCAGCCCGAGGCTGCTACACATTCCAGGCAAAATGCTAGATATTAACTGGGGTGTTTTTTCTACTTGATAGCATGGTCTCTATCACGTAACACTCTCACTTACTACGCTTAACACTGGGCACCCACAAGAATTAAACAGGGGTGGAAAGCTGGCTTCATGTGCATAACG